CCCCCTCCATGGTCAGCTCCATTACTTGGGATTTTACCTTTACTTTAATTGTGTGCTATTCTTTCATGACAGATAAATTTGCAGTTTGCAGGACTATCTAGTCAAAGACCACTGGGCCCACACCTGGTATGAAGGTGCAGGTTGACAATTAATTTCCTGTGCAAGCCAAGCATTACAATTATATTGCAGAAGTCACCCTGGCAATGGTAGGTTCAAGTTGTAAGATTTGAGAGATCTTTGATCAGATATATTGAAATCCTAGGGTACTAATATCACACTAATAGATTAATCAGTAGAAAATATTCAGATGCTGTTAAAAAATCACCCCAAATTTCTTTTGAAGTTAGAAACAAATAACTGACTTTTAAAATTTAGTTAATAATGGGAAGCAGAAAAATGCTAAATTAATTTCTGTAAAAACTGCTTTCTAAGCAGCTTGATACAATTGATGTATCTATTAATCCATGAACAAAAGAGAAAAAAACATACTGAATACATGAAGTGATAATCTGATTCCACCAAGGGCTCTGGAACTCAGGGAAACACCCTGTCACTTGAAGAGGGCCAGACTTGCAGTCTTTGTGATTAGTAGAAGAGTATGAAAACCCTGTCTCTAAAAAGAAAAAAAAAAGTTGAAGTCTGAATTTACATTAAATATCTTGGTAAAGGTCCCACTTGCACTGCATTTTGTACCTATATGAGGAACCTGTACCTCAGAAAGATACAGCCTGGTGTAATTTATTTTAATTGACAATTCTATGGAGATTACTGTGCCTGACTCCCTTAGAAAAGCACTGACAAGGGGATCCCTTGGATTAACCCTTGGGCTTTCAAAACTGTCTGATTGCTGTTTTGTATATGACACCTGTTTTTGCAGCCCCTTTGTGAATAGTGCTTGCTTTCAATTGTTTGGTGTACAAAAGGAATTGTAAAAGACACACAAAAAACTCCCAACTTTTAAAATTATATTTTTGTAGCATAAGAACTTTCAGAAATGTAGGGTTGTTTTTTTCCTTCAAGAATGTCTTTGACAAGCAGGATTGTTTACAAATTTGAGTCCAAGCACTGACAGAGTAAGAAGCCTATTCTGCTTTGTCTCAGAGAAGACATAGCAGTGTGGATGTCTCACCATGGAAGTGTTCAAGGCCAGGCTGGATGGGGCTTTAAGCAACGTGGTCTAGTGAAATACATCACTGCCCATGGCTGGGGAATTGAACTAGACGGTCTTTAAGAGGCCTTTTCCAACTCAAAACATTCTGTGTGACTCTGTAAGTATCTTGTGGGATGAGTCCCTGTCACATGTTACTCCTGAACCATCTTTGAATATAATCTGAAGTAGCAGCATTTCCTAGAAAGGAGCAATGCCTCCCGACTAGGGAAATCACTGGCAATTAAATAGTCTGTACTGTGGCACGCCACTGCCTCAAGCCTGTGGCATGGCCTTGTTTTATTTCTTGACAAAATTCAAATGTATCAAAACCATAAATTGTCTTCAACTTTTACAATAATTTAAGAGGACAGATTAGCAAGGCCCAGGGTGAAATTTCATACCAAAATTGGAAGGAGGAGGGATCTGGCTCAGCATCACGTCTGTCACACAAGGTTTAAGGAAGGGATCCAGTTGTACTTCTTATGTGTGAATCAGTGAGCAATTAAGATATTTAGGGGAGGGTACTTAGACAAGGGAGAACTTGAAAGGGGAAACCTGAATCCAATTGTAGCCATCTCAAAGCTTCACACAATAATGAGTAGCCCTGTTGTTTAAGTAGAGACAAGTGGATATCTTTTTCTTAACCAGACAAGAATTTACTTTGGTAAGAAAAGAAATAAAATCTTGTGAAGCCCCAGTAAGTTTCTGTTTCCCATTAAGACTTACCCTTGGGTCCTACGGTAACACCCCTGAGGGCATTTTCTCATTTGCCCTTCTGGAGCACTTCTCCCATCTGTGTTTTTCCTGCTCCATTTCTGTCTGTGTGCATGTACAGCACGCCATGCACAGTATGGTCTGTGACACACATTAATACATATAGATAGCCTTCTGCTTCTGACCTTACAAACTGTCCACTTCAGCATTGTCATTCTATGAAATGTCCAACTGTAGTCCAAGAAATGCATTTTAAATGTGAATGCAAACATTTCTATTACTGATAACACCAACACAGCATTTTTTGCTTTGCTGGGATTAGGACCTTGATAGTTAAAGTTACATTGGAGTAATGACAGTCCAAGGTTGCGTCCTTTACAGACATGGCAAAGGAAGGGGAGGCCTTTGGTATGTCTCTGCTGATAAAATTAAGAAGGATTATTTCTTGTGTTTGGTGAGATTGTATTAAAAGTGAAAGAATATATTTGTTTCCCATAAACAAGTTAGGTCACAGAAACTGGGAGATATTTACGTGTTGCACTGCATTGCAGTTGTATTTCATTCATGCTGAAAGTCTGATTTTAGAAAACAATTTGAAATCCGATAATGATGGAAATAGAAGCCTCTCTCCTCAGTGAACAGCCATCTTCTCACATGAACAGGAGAGCAGTTGCCATTCAGCTAGGGACACCTTAAATAAAATAAAAGAAAAGCATTGTGATCTGCAAAGAGAAACTCTCAGGAAATTTCAGCTTAGAAGGCTAACTCTGAATATGCTTCACCGTGCTTCACTTTCATGCTCCGTAAAATGGGGGTAATAATTTTTATTGATCTGTCTACCTTTTATCAATGCATTAAGAACTTAAATTGTATCTTTACAGTCTTTTGAGCAGTCTTGATATATGCAGCTCTTACAGTACAGCTTAGCAGCTGGGTTTGCCATTTTTTCATGTTCTCTCACAGGGGAGCTGTCCTGCTTTACTGTACGGTTATCTGGTCTTCCCATCTAAGGGTTTCTAACTGGGCAAGTTTGGTAAATCAACGATGAGTTCAGCACCTACCACTTGTTACCTGAGCTGCCACAGACAGCAAAGCATGCTCCTCTTGCTCCAGGAGTCAGTTTAGGTTGTCACCCAGTACTTCACGGTTGTGCCTACCTAGGGGCACATCACTGGGTGTGACTGCTGAAGGAGCAGTCACTCATTAGGACCCTGTCACTCAATGCAGTCATATCTTAGCCTAATAACAGGAGAGGGCGAGGAGAGCCACCTGCCCCTCCAGCTATGTCTGAATTACTTGGACATCTTTGCATGATGCTTTTTTAAGAATGGATTTTTTGGGGTTGTTGTATGTGACCTCAGGTGATTTCAGTAGGCAGAGGTCTTCACATATCCCTGTTACTCTTCACCATGCATTTCACACCTGTATTCATTTTGTACCTGTAACAAGAGATTCAGTGTTGTCCTACTTTTGTACTCACATAAAGCAACTTAGTGGTCTTCCCAAAAAGGTAACTGATGTTTTCACTAAACAGTTATTTTAGAGCTAATTTTACACTGTATTGAATAGGTTCCATTGATATAATATAAATTAATTGTTGAAATCAATAGGAATGTTATGTGTTTCACTTTATACATTTGTTTGGGGACAAATTTGCTTTTGAGATTCATTAGGAACACTTCAGCATATTTTCATGAGGAAACTACTCTGTGTCTAGTGTTATGTATACTTCTCTTTCTCTTTCCGTCCATTCAGCTCTCCCTACCTACTTAATGGCTTTGAATCAGCTGATTAATTTCTATAAAATTTCTCAGAAACAAAGAGATCTAAAAAGATGACTAAGCTCCCAAATGGAATGAAAACCAGCAGACAGACTGTGGAAAACTACCCCGTTTCTATCTCCACCAAGGAAAAAGAAGGAAAACTCAGTCATAATCAACCCTCTTTCTCAGCAGCCCAGTAGGTCAATATGTGGTCAGGTACACAGGGCAATTGGGGTCATACCAGTGGGAGTCAAAATTGGCAACACAGTGTGGTGAATGCTGAGGATAAAGAGGAAGAAGCAAAGTTTCTGGAAAGGACAGACTGGAAGTCTTAAAATGGGGTAGATGTTTCCAGGGAGGCTATGATAAAAAGAGAAGAGAAGGAGAAGGAAATAGAAATGTGCTATGCTTTTTTTTATTTTTATTTTTCTCTTGCAACAATCCTGTGACTCCAGCTTCATATGTTGCTGTTTGAAAAAAAAAAAAAGAAAAAGTTTGGGTTTAGGCCCAAGTTTCCTCAGAAGTTTATTCCAGATTCTCTAATACTTGTAAAAAGAATCTTGCAACAACATAACTTTTTCCAGCCTAGCAGCTTACTGACTGACAAGCTTTCTTTCGACATCTGTTTGACATCTCATCCTAATATTAGTTTTACAGGCGCATTCACATTTAGGAAATCACTGTATTCTCAAGTCTAAGATGTCACAAGTGTCTCTTTCTGCAACTGCTTGCCCCAGAAATGTTAGCTAATATATTTTATCTAACATCAGCCCTCCTGTTGTGTTGTACTTCATAGTTGTCATCCAAAACCAGCTGCATTTTTATGAATGTATCTTAATAAGGCATGCCCTGAAAGGTACCAGTGCCCCTTTGTGTCTTCCTGTGATGACATGGGAATAATAGGTGGTCATCTAGAGTATCAGGTATCAGAAAATCAAGTAAAATTGCATAAGCCCCATTAGTAATATTATGTGGATGATGTAAAAAGCAAGATAAAAAGACTGATATTTTATCTGTTTCACTCAGTGTTAAAATGAATAGTGGAAACAGACCGTGATCCAGGGCCCAGAGTGGCCCAGCACTTTTTTCATACACGGCCCAGCATTTTTTTCATACACTCTTAAATTACAGGAGATTTGCTGCAGATGACAGTGGACAGTGGTAAAATGTGCAGGTGATATGTGACATGACAAATGAATTGGAAAGTCCTCATCACCCCAGTAAAGGAATGACTGTTTCCTACCCTCAGCCTGTCTTAACCAGTCTCTCTGTGCTTTTATCACCTAAGTTTGATTCAACATGCAGAATACAAGGAATTACTTGTGGCAAGTGTATGTGGCATGCCTGCATTCTCCCTGTGTTGTGTCTTCCAGATTATTGGAACAATCCCACTGATGCCTAATCCAGTCCCGTCCAGCCAGGCGGCAGGTGGAGCTCAGGGACTTCAGGTGCAGCCGATAACTCCACAGTTACTGACCAATGCCCAGGGCCAGATCATCGCCACTGTCATCGGCAACCAGATACTCCCAGTGATCAATACCCAGGGAATAACACTATCGCCGCTCAAACCAGGCCAGCAGGTAAATTGTCTGTAGCCTGAATGATTATCAAAGCAGACACAGAGAAATTTTCTGCTCCTCACGGGCACTCTCGTGGTCTCTCTAAAAATCCCCACTTCTTTACCATTTTTAATAATAAAAATTAGTTCTGTCCTGCATAGTGTATTACTGCATACTATATATGTAGTAATTAATAATGTCATATCATATAACTTATTTATAAATTCAAAAATTATCCATTTTTTCTTTGTCTTTTCAAGGTCAGTATAGGACCAACTGAGATGTTTTCTGCAGTGAAAATGCAATAGGAATATGAGGCAGAGGAGACCCATCTGGCCCATCTGGTCTATAAAGTTCAGCTCCTTAGTTAGTGGTCACCTAGCAGACTGGGGCTTGAAATGATTTAGAACTTGAAGGGAATTTTTTTTTCCTCACTGGAAAATCAGTTATGATTGTCTATAATTGCATAGACAGAAAGTATTCTGTGGAAATTATTACCCAGTGTAAGGTTGCAGATAGTTGACAGACTTAAGGGTGGATCCGGTGACCACACTGAGATGCAAAAACACTTCTGTAGCTCTTCTTATAGCACTCTAGAGTCAAATCCATTAGTTTTGCCTACACCTGTAGAGCAAGAAATTGTAGGTCCACCTTTTTTCTCTGAAAGAGGGGAAGCTGAGGACAGAAAATGCATCAAATATGATTACCAAAGAGATTCTCACAAAAATATCCCTCAAATATTCAGCTTAGCATTCCTACTGCTGCAATATAGTAGTGCTATAGTTTGCCACTCCTGCTGACACCTCCAGTTCTGAAAACATTTCACATCCCATTGGTTACCTGATTTTTTCCCATCCTATCCTCTGTAATATCTAGCATGGGCATTTTCCAAAGCACTTGTCATTTATCTAATTCTATTTTCTTTAACGGAAGTGTACTTGCACTACTAGCAAATGCTTTTGCAATGTTTGCATATATACAGTTTCAAACAAAGCTGAATGGATCTGAGGGCAGGCTCCATGTTCTCCACCATGGGAAAGCCTGACAATGAAATATGAAACTCAGCAGTTCACATTTGGTTTCCTGGGGGTGCGTGGGATGGGCTTGATTTTTTTTGTTGTTGTTTTTGTTTTTGTTTTTTTTATTCAGTCCCCTGAAGGGATTAGATCTTTTCCTCCATTATGGGGGAAGCACTCAAAAATCATAGCAATCCTGAGATCCCATTTGAAACACATGAAACATAAATTTACGTATTTAGACTTAAATAGGATGTAAATAGAAGGATAAAGGACCTGTATTATTGCCTGAGACATTCCCACCTTCTGAGTCCTGCATCAAAGCAACCTCTTCCAGGCAAAGTCTGCCAGTAGTGTCAGTGGGCAGAGAGGGCACAGAGGTGTAACAGATTCTGCACAGCTCATGGAACTGGTCTCACATCAAGAGACAAAGTCTGAAAGCTGCAGCTTGCTGAATGAGCAGGGGTGCAAGGTAGAAAACACTGCTTAGCCACATCATGCTGTCCTGTACTTGTTCACCCAACCTGTGTGCTCATGTGCAGGGATCAGCTGGCACAAATATCAGTCTGCAGAGAACTGGTTATGTCCAAGAGCCAAAGATGGTATGCCCAGCACTGCTATGGAGGTAGAAAATATTATTTTGCCAATACTATTTTCACAGGGTTCAGCCTCTGCCTCTTTCATGGAGTGCTGAGGTCCCAGGGGTTGCGAGAAGGGCCACCAAATGACACAGTCTCCTTACCTTGAATCAGCCTTTCTTGAAGTTTAATCAAGACAGTGTTTTTGATCAGGGAGAGGAAAAAATGTGGTGCAAATGCTATATGAAAAAATAGTACAGGTTATTGTTTTTATACGAAACACAGAAAATTATTTCTATGTATTTGTGCTCCCTCTACTGGCTCTTCTGGTTTTACTGAAAGAAGTCAGAGATAATTTTGCCATGAATTTCAGTGGGAGCAAGAAAGTTGTATGAGAGCTAGATTCCTCATAGGAATAATGTTGATGGACAGCGAAAAACAATTGAGCTAGTACTTACTGTACAAACTGTTGTATCATTTGGAAAGTGAATAGATTTGCTCAAAGTTTAAGGAGATCATGTATTTATTTTATTGCCTGGGTAGATACTTAGACTAACTTAGTATTTGGCTAATAATAGCGTATTAAGTCATAAAGTTTAAAATATCATTTCCAAAGGAGAGAGTGCTTCAAATCGGAGGGATCAGCAGGAATTCAAAATGTTTTTGAAAATGGTGTCACACAGCATTTGGTGTCTTCTAACTTGATGAAGGAAGTTTCAGCAGGGGAAAAGATTACAATGTAAGTTTTGGGAAAGTTTTTAGTATGTCTTGAAGAAATAAATGCAGGAAATAAATAATGTAGTAAAATGTTCCAGTTAGGGATAATCCTAGTTTAACTTTCAACTTGTCACTTCCTCAGAAACTAAGTATGGCAGGAGAAAAAGAGCAGTGATAGTGAGCTGCTGCTTGTTAGCTGAGTCACAATAATTGAACCTTTGTAAACTGTTCCAGTTGCTAAGTAATGCATGCTAGTGCTTACTTTTCCCCTGATGACTGAAGACTTAAATGCTTCAGATTTTGTTAGTCAGCTTTACTTAGGTAGACTATATGTGTTATTTATTCATACAGCTTTTTCAGACTTGACAGAATAAACCTCAATCTCTCCTAATGGAAATGAGTTCATAGAATACTCACATGCAGTGTAAAGCAATGTTTCTTTTTCTGCACTGTAAATAGGTTGCTTTTCAGTGTACACAAGCAAGTCTGATGTAGTCCTGTTCTTCCTGTATTTAAGTATAAATAGATGGTTTTGATTTATGTTCTTTAAACTACCCACAGTAGAGATTGTTCCTCTTCAAATTACACCAAGTAGATAAAACTTCAAGTGTTCTACTATTTTCCAAGATTTTTCTAATCTGACGAATATCTGTGCACACACCAAGAATTCTCCTAAAAGTTGCAATGGCTTTCTAAAGCAAGCAGCTGTTTGCACTCCTGTTTTATTCTGTATCTTTTTTATCTCTGTTCATAAACAAGTTTTTCTTTGCCTTTAATATTTTTTGCTGTTCACCCCCCAGCCATTTCCTCACTAATCTCTTCAAGATTTTTTGATCAGAACTGAATGCCGTGGTCACAGGGAGGTTGCATTCCTGTTTTACATAACATGATATTATTTTCAGCATTATTTTCTTCTCTTATCTCAATACAGCCTAACATTCTGCTTTTTTCTATCTCTGTTCATGGAACAGTTTTACTTAATAAGCAGATGTATCCACCATAATATATCTTTGTTTCCCTGATTATTATCACGTGTGTCACTAAAATAGTTCCTTTTGTTGTGAATCACTTTGCACTGATCCACTACCTGTCAAAATGCTCCCCTGGCATGCTCTAAACAGGATGTGTAAGTTTTTCATGGTATTCTGTACTAAGTGAAGAAATGAAAGTTTGTCCTGCAGATTTACCATTATTCACCATATTTCCTTGCTGGTTGCTAAAATCATTCAAAAATTTGGCATTAATCCTTTCTTCTCTACCTGTAGTCTCCTTTCTTGAAAAAGAAATAATAAAATTATTCTCTAATTTTATGTTTCTTGCTTTATAAGCTCTTTGTGTCCCATAATAGAAGACCACCTTGTAACTTTAACTTCTGCAGTTTCTCCATGCCTCTCAAGAGGAATTTTGTCAAAATGTAGATTGCATGGCTAAAGGCACATTGTTTTTGAGAACAGATGAATTTGTTGTAAAAACTTGTTTGCATTGCCTTTTATTATCAGATTTGAAAAATTTGTTTCAAAATGTTCGTTCATATCACTAACACAACCTTAACACCGGCACAGCTGAATTTGAACCATGAACTGGAGTCTTATAAAATTTAGGAAAGTATTCACCTCACTTAAGTTAGTCATAGAGGAGTTAGGTATCTGGTGTAAGCTAGTTAACTGGATTTCTTGTATAGACATAGACAAGGAGACATATGCATGTCCAGTGGAAAACTCAAGGTGTCAAAATAGAAAAAAAAATTGGATAGGTTGAATCTCTAATAGGTATCTTAACATACACATTTTTTCCTTTGACATGAGACAGAGCTAGGGTAGCTACCTTAGGATTTTCAATTAATTCCAAGGTGAAAAAAACTGACTGAGAAGAATCCAGCCGTCAATGATCACTGGGGTTCAAACACATTCTAGTCTATGAATTTCCTAAATAATCCTAAAAATAATTGGTGTTTTCATAACTATTTTCTAGCCCATACAGAAGCAACTTCTGGACATTTTATTGTTCTCTGGTGTACCACATAAAGCAGGTTCCTATCTCACTTTTTCCTGGCTCTTTCTTTCTACATACTAGATTCATTAAATCAGGACTGTAGTTCCAGTTGTCCTCAGTTTTCTTTTATCTACAATGCCTGACAGAATTTTTCAGACTTCATCTTGTCTCAGAGCACGACCAGCTTTGGGCTTCTGTCAATTCTAACACAGTAAAATGAGCTACTAGGCAGCATTTTCCTACATTTTCAGTTCCCCATCTTTGTTGTCATTGGCTATCATGCTCCAGATTACCTGTTAAAAAGACATAGATATCTCTCAGATGGGACTGTGGTGATTCTTGTACATCTGCTTGCCAAACTTCACTTTAGATGTTCTCTTTCTGCAGTCTCAACCTGCCACAAACACCCTACCATCTTGTTATCACAACTCCATGCAATCCCTTGTTATTCTCTCCCATTAAAATCTAACCAGCTCTCAATCATTTCCTCTCTGCAATGCTCCTATAGCTTTGATGCTGTCTTGTTTTATGAGAAATCCACTCTTCTTGCTCTGTTTCAATATAGTCACTAAACTGTGTTGTCTCAATCTGACTTTGTTTTGCTTTTTATATGACTTGCAGTGATGAGGGTGACAATTTTTACTGCTTCTTTCTCTTTTCCTTTATCATCATTACTTCATAATTCCATTTCATCTATGGATAAATTACTAGAATTTTG